CCATTTATTTAAGTCTTCTTTAATTTCTTTCAAAGTTTTGTAGTTTTTAATTTGCAGGTTTTGTATTTAATTTTTTTTAAAAAAATGTGTTTTTTAGCAGTCACCAGAGGGTTGGGGGAGATGGGGAGAGGTAGATGGGATAAAAGGGGTCAAATATGTGGTGACATAAAGAAATCTAACTATGGGCGGTGAACACATAATACAATATATATATGCCTTACTGTTGAATTGTACACCTGAAACTCACTGGATTTCATTAACCAATGTCACTAATAAAAGAATTAATTTTTTTAAAAATGTGTTTCTGAGTACTTTATTCCTTTTAAGGCTATTCTAAATGGAATTTTCTTAATTTCATTTTTGAACTGTTGATTGCTAGTGTATAGAAATATAACTGATAAATTTGTGTATTGATCTTTTATCTTGCAACCTTGCTGAACTTATTACTTCTAATAGTTATTTTTGTAGATACCTTAAATTTTTTTCTCTACAACAGCACGTTATCTGCAGATAGAGATAGTTTTACTTCTTCCTTTGCAATCTCAATGCCTTTTCTTTTTCTTGTCCAATTGTCTAGCTAGATCAATGTTGAATAGACTTGGAGAGAAGTCTACATCCTTGTCTTGTTCCTGATCTCAGGGGTAAAGAAGTCCTCTGTCTTTGACCATTAGTATCATGTTAGCTGCGGGAAGTACAGTTGACCCGTGAATAACATGAGGGTAGGGTTACTGAACCCCTGCACAGTAATAAAATCCACGTATAACTTTTGACTCCTCAAAAACTTAACTGCTAATTGCCTACTGTTGACTGGAAGCCTTACTGATATCATAAATAGTCAATTTACATGTATTTTGTATGTTATATGTATTTTATACTATATTCTTAAAGTAAGCCAGAGAAAAGAAAATGTTATTAAGAAAATCATAAAGAAAATATATTTATAGTAAAAAATATGCATATAAGTGGACCCGCTCAATTCAAACTCATATTGTTTAAGAGTCAACTGTAGTTTTTAAAAAGGATTTATAAAGCTCATTTATTCATCTTTTTATTTAAAAGCTGTCTACCAGACATTATGGTAGAATATATTGGTTAGTTAGACATAGGCCTCTGAAAGAGGAAGTATAGCATATTGTGAAACTTAACTAGTAGCTCCTATCCTAGTCCGGAAGAAGTCAAGAAATAATTTCTAGAGGAAGTAGCTGAGACTTTAAGATAGAGTTGACTTTGCAAAAGGGAAGAGAATGTTCTGAGTGATAGAAATATCAGTGCTATTGAAGGCACGCCCTACCTGAGAAATGCAATACTGCGTTGTGGAGGGTGGACTGCAAGAGGGTGGTGCTAAGATGATGCTGGACAAATGAGCAGAGCTATATTCTAAAAGGTCCACATGAAGCCAGTTTACACATTAAACTTTACCGTGAGCAAAACCAGAAGTCATTAAGAGTTTTAAGAAGAAAATTTAAAAAGAAGAGGAAATGAGGTCATCAGATTCGTACTGCAGGAAAATTGCAGTTCCAGTTTGGGCTGGAGGCCAGAAAACTAGTTAGAGAACTGTTGCAGTAACCCAGGAAAAAAATGGTCCACTGAATGAAGTAGTGATGGTAAAGATGGATATAAATAGAGAGGTGGAATTGGGTGTTTAGAGGAAGAGGAGGCAAGGATGATTCCTAGATTTTTGTTCAGGGCCAATGGGTAAATTATGTATGTTCTTTACTGATTTGAGGAATAAAGGAGTAATAGTTTGGGTGAGGGTTCATGAGTTTTGTTTTGAAAATGTTGAATTGAGGTGCTTACAAGATATCTAAGTGGGTTTTTCCCATCGGTAATTGGAGTTCATATGTAGAGCACAGGAGAATAATTCTGGGCTGTATCTATATGGTAGCTATAAAATTTTATGGTCATTGTGGAGACATGACAGGGGATAAAATTCACTTATTCAATAAATATTCATTAAACCAGTTAACAGTATACATTTAGAGATGGCACACAGAACTCAGCTTACTTTACACTTCAAGAACGCCTCTGTCCCTCCCGTCTCTTTCTTCTTTCCCCTTTCCCTCCCTCACCCCAAAACGATTTCATGTGTTTTACTGAAATGGTAATAATGTGTAAGAGTATTACTATTAGCTTCTTGCCCTTCATTTATTCTTCCCCTACGTATTGACTTTATCAAGATTTCTTTTTACAAAGATAACATTGTATTATTACCATAATAATTTTTTTTTGTTCCATTTTAGTGTCTTAAAGACTTTTTTACATGATCCTCTTGTGGAATGGAGTAAACCAGTAAAAGGGCATTCCAAAGCACCACTGAATGAAACCGGGGAAGTTGTCAACGAAAAGGTTAGTAGAAGGTTTAACTTGATATGAATGAATATTGTATATCTCTACAAATGAGAACTGATTCTAAATATCATCAGTGACTGATCATTGAATACTCTGAAATCTAGTTCTCTAGTATGTTAATGCCCTAAGTTTTCTTTATTGTCATTACTATTGTTGACATTATTATCATTTGTGTAATAAAAGCAGAGTTCAGGATACATTTGTTTAACCATAGACAATTCACAATTATGAGATAAGAGCAGGAAAAACTTGAACACAAACTGTGTGGACTTATAAAGCAAGTCTCAGCCTTAATACGTAGAATTCACTCTTTACTAATAGCAGTTGAAGCATCAAAGTTTTCAGATAGTCATTTTTAATAAGTTAGAATAGATCGAAGATTGTTTTTCTAACATCATTCTCACTCTTGCATTCTGATATGCTTTTTTTATACAGAAATGTGTAGAATTCCAAGTACTTCACTTAGAACTCCCATTTGCATATACTAATAATCTAAATATTAGGCATTAGCATATTATTGCTATTATTAGAATATTCATTCAAATGTTTAAGTACTAAACAGTTTCAGAGTAGATTTTTTAATGTTATTATTTTCCTAGAATTATGTGGAACAAATTCCCCCGGTAGTTCACAAGTTCAGAATAATGTCTAAACTGTTGATGTTGGATCAACACTGAAAGCCTTAAAATCAGTATCTCAAATTATTGTACTTTTTCATTTCTTCTGAGTATTTGCTCTTAACAAAAGGGGTAATAATAATCAGTAAAATGCATTGACATTGTTTGATAGAAAGGTAGTAATTCGAAATTATCAACATGCACATATCATTGAATCCTTAGCCCTTATGATTTTCAATTACTTCCTTTTAGGCCAAGACCCATGTTCTTGACATCGAGCAGCGACTGCAAGGTGTAATCAAGACCCGAAATAGAGTGACAGGCCTGCCATTATCTATTGAAGGACATGTGCATTACCTTATACAAGAAGCTACTGACGAAAACTTACTATGCCAAATGTATCTTGGATGGACCCCATATATGTGATAAAATTACTTAAAGGAATATACTAATAACTAATTTAATGCATTTGGTATTAATCTGTGGTTGTATCTGTTCAATTCAAAAGTACAACATAAGTTGCTTTATGTTTTCAAAGCAACTGGTATTATTTCTCCCTCATTAATATTTAAAATAATATATGCTGTTATTAAGAAATAAAGTGCTTTCTTAATATATGCTGTGTATTTTAACCAGAGAGATGGATCATATGTTCTTATGCTCTAAAAATATGTATGTGCAAGAAACAAGCCAGCTTAATTTCATTTTACAACTTTTAAGTACTTGCTAGCATAAGGATTCATTTGAAGAACAAAAAAATTATACTGAATAAATTCTGTGGACAAAGCACTGTGCTAAATTTGTACATAGAGCTTAGGTCTCCTGCCCTCTAGGAACTGATAGTCTAGAAAAAAGAAACATAAATAGAACATCATCCAGTTCACTTAATAAAACTTTTTTTTTTTTTGTATGGTTGGAAATGTGATAAGGAATAAACCATATAAGTCAAGAAGCATAACTATGAAAACTATATACATTCTGTAATTTTAAAGATGCTGAAAATGTACCAGAATGCAGAATCCAGTAGTCTTGGAAGACAGCAATACTTGAAATTTCATGAGATTTTAAAATATAAAAAAAATTTAATGTGGTTAAATTTTTATTTTCCTGCAGAAAACTTAATTCATAATAATTAGAAAGCAATGAGGTTATTACATTCAAATAAATGGAAGACCTTTTATAATATGATTTTACTTAAGTTCACTCGAGAGAACTCTTTTTGGCACGGTTGAAAGTGATGGGGAAAACACAAGAAGCTAAGAGTATTAATGTGAAAACTGAACAATTTCCTATCGAATGCCTAATATTAAGAGTTAAGGAGGAAGCTGGTTGGGGCCGGGTGGAGGGAGTTAGGAAACTTTCTTCAACACGACTTGTTAAAGAACGTTTTTAAAACAAACTTTGCTGTAGGTATATATCCCTCAAAGGAAAAAAAACTCCCCCTCACCAAACAAAACTAAACCAAATAAATCACCAGAACTTTACAAGTCCGTGTTGAAAAATGCTGAGATGAGAATTTCAGGGGACTAAAAACAACCACGATAAAAATCAGTGTTCGGTACTCTTCCAGCAGTCTGGAGAACTTTTCATACCACTTGCAAATCAACTTATGGTCTGTGAACTGGCATTTTCAGAACTAACCTTAACACACATACCAAACGCCTCGGGGCTCTTAAATGTAACCAGCGAGCACGGCGGCGGCGAGTTACAGCTGGAATTAGAGCCCCGCCGCGTGGTTGTGGCTGGAATCCGGCCGCTCTAGGCCTAGTGGGCGTTCTCTATGGTCGGGCGGGAGGTGTGTTGTCATCGGCGGAGCGACGGCCGGAGGCGGCGGCGTAGGCCCCGGCGGGGCGTTTGGTTTCGGTTTGGCCCTGAGTGGAGTTAGTATTGACAGTCGAAATGGGAGTCCCCAAGTTTTACCGATGGATTTCAGAGCGATATCCGTGCCTCAGCGAAGTGGTGAAAGAGCATCAGGTGGGTGAGCGAGGGGCAGCGGCTGAGAAGGCCAAGGACCGGGGACTCTGCGGCCCTCTCCATCCTGGGTCTGGGGCTCCCCAGCTTCCTCTTTCTGCGCGTCGTCTGCGGGATGAGTGGGAAAGGAGGGAAACAGAAAGTTTGAGGACACCCGGATGATCTGAATGTGACGATCTGAATGGGGGCGAAGACAGGTTGCGTTTCTGTTAGCAGAGCCGCGGTGATCGCGGCAGTTCTGACAGCTCCCTGCCTGGTGAGGGCCTTCCGCGATTCCGAAATTAAGCCCTGCGGTGGTACGCTTTAGTGAGTTCTTTCCTTTCCTCCCCGGTGAGCTGTAGATTGCATTTTCCCTTATAGAGCCCGAGTGGAAGTCCTCTCAACCCCGCCCAAAGCCACAGACCCTTATAGAAACAATTACTCCCGCCTCCGCAGTCGAGTCCCCTTATTTACTTATCGAGAACTACAGCCTTTCCCACCCTCAACGCCTAGACTTTTTGACGTGGTTTATGGGTCATATTTATGAAACCTTTTGTTACTCTTTCCTATTCGGAGGCGTGTGTGTGTGTATGTGTGTGTGTGTGTTAGAGAGAGAGACAGAGAGAATGTAAGAGCACTAACATAGGTAATAACAATATTTTATATAATGACTAATGACCCCAGGGCGACGTGTAGATTCCAAAAAATGTAATTTACATATTGGAACTCTGGAAAGAGAATAGAAAAACGATTACCTAGACTGCTAGACTTTGGGTCATACATGTTTGTCACATGCAGTGACTTTAGTAGATCTCTTGTTCATTTTATATTTTACAGGGAAAAAATCAGTTTTGAAATGTGTATAGTTAAATTGATTGTGATGGATAGCATTATATTCATAGAGGGAGTATTAATCCAGCGAACACCATCGTGCTGTCTGTTAAATTATGGTTTAATCTGTTTTAGAAAATACCATAAGCATGTTTGAAGGGTAGGGTTAAATTTCTAGAAAGCGTTCTTTGTTGTTAGATCACAATCAGACTTGGTATATGAAAAAGCTTACAAAAAAATTCTAAAATGGAAGTTTATTTGAAACATGGGTTGAGTTAGATTTAGGAAGATATTTCTTTCCAGAGAAGAGGGTTAAAAAAAGTTTACTAGTACATTTCAGAAATGGAGACAACTAACTTTGGCATTTCCTGGTCCTTCATTCAAAAAATGAGTACCTGCCATGAGTCATTCGCTTTATCTCTCAAGTGAAAAAAAATGTGATTGTTAGTCAAACTGACTTAATAATACATAATTTGTTCAATAATATTTTACTCTGTACTATTTGACACAGAGTTTGTTTTGGTGAAATTATCTCTGATTCTCTCCATCTTGAGGATTTGTTATTGAAGAACAAAAATAATCTTTTCAAGGCAGTTTTATGATATGAACATTAAGACTAGGTTTAAACTTGGTTCATCAAAAGTGATATGTTTAAAAAAATGTTTGATTCTGGTAGTTAACAGCAACAATAAAAAGCAAATGTTATAAGGCATTACCTTGCTGCTCTCTCAAGCAGTACTTAAAAGATGGTAATGCCTAAGTCACAATGATTCAAAAGCAAGTCCTGGGACGGAGTTGGGAAGAGGTTTGGAGGAAGATTGAGTTCTGGAAAGATGGTGGTGATGATGGTAGTGGTGATAGCTGCGTAATCTAAGGTCTCTCTGAATCTTTACATGAAAACGAAAAGAGCAATTAGATAGCAAAATGTAAAGCCCATAGAATGATTATAATAAAACCACATAGAAAGGTATCCCCATGAACCCCCAAATAGAAGAAAGTAAGGAAAAATTACCAATAGCCCATAGACCCAGTCAGTATTGGCATCTCTGCAAGAGATAGAAGAACTCCAGAATATTCATTAAAAGACCAGGAGGGCCAGTTAGATATCAGTAGCTTTAACTGAGGGATTTTAAAGAGTAGAAGCAGTCTACATCCTATGAACTCTCAAAACTGACTTGCCAAGGCACTATTCTAAGGCAGAGCCCACCCTAAGGAGAAAATGTTGGGAGTGAAATAAAATTTTATCAGAAAAGGGACAATAGAAATAAGAGAAGAAGAAGGCTCAGAACAAGGAGGGTTAAAGAGAGTCAAGAAATCTTAAAAAACAACCAACCAACCAAACCACCAAATTTTTAAACACTACCCCTAAACAGCAAAGCGGGGAGCTCTGTGAAGGAAAAGCTTTCTTGAACACTTCCTCATTCTAAAAGTTCAGGAAAATTAAATTTACATAAAAATAAACAGAAAATTATTAAAGCCAAATAGCGTACAAAGTTATTATAGGGAAAAAAGGGATCAAAATAAAAGCTTGCAATAAAAACATGCACACAAAACAGACAAAAACTACAATCTACTATTTCAGAATAAGCTAAAAGGCACTAAGAAAATGACAAAAGACTTGAAAGAACAACATATTATCAATTATGAAAATTCAGGAGGAAAGAAGAGGAAATTTAAAAAGAAAAAAGTTTCAAAAGAAAATAATAAGATAGGCAAACAAGACAAATAATAGTGGTTCTTGAAAAAGGAAATCAAAACAACATAAATACTAAAACTAATTAAAAACTTTCCTGAAATTAAAATAAATATTTGAAACTGCATGTCGAAAGAATATTACCATGTGCCTAAGAATATTGATTCAGATGACCAAACACAAAGAATTAGGAAAGTTACTGGACTTTAAAGGAAAAGAAAAAGATTTTGTTATTTAGAAGTAAGGAACACATGACTTATAAGAAAAAGAAAATTGGATTTCTGTCACAAGTTTTGACACCAGTGCTTTATGCCAAAAAAAAAAAAAATGGAATAACATAAAATACTCAACTCACCGACTTTTGAATATAAAGGATAAGTTGATAAACTGCTATCGGTTTATAAGAATTCAGGAAATATTGTTCCTTTGAGCACTTCCTTGAGGAATCTACTAGAGAATGAGCTCAGACAGAATGATGAGAGAGACATCAACATAAGGACTAGTGGTGAACATTAAATATAGTTACTTGTAGAATGAAACAAAATGAGTTAAAAGAGAGTAAGTTTAGTATATAATAGCTATATGCTCTGACAGTGTATAGATAGCAGAATATAAAATGGGAATGGGGAGAATGGGGAAATCTTGTGGAAAAATATTTTTTATGTTACCAATACTCAGTATTGGTGGTAATATTAATATTGTTTTTCTGGAATCCATGTCTGTGATATGATAAATGCCTAATATAGGGTATTTTAATTTTATCATCTCATATCCTTGAGAACCAAGATTCTGGGCATGTAAAAGCAGAGTTACAGATGTAAAAGAGAAAATGTTAAGTAAAAGCTCTTTAGTCTTGAATTTGAATTGGAAGTATCAATATGAACTTATGAGACGCACACACACATACACAACGCATGTGCATAAATTTTCTAGCTCTGTCCATGAAACAGGACTGGAAAGAATGATCAATCCAGTAGCAAAATTTAGTGCCTAGGTTATGATCTTGAAATATTCTTACTCACTCAGGATTTCTTGGAGAAATGACAGATTCCAGGTCCGTCAGGAGGTATTCTAGATGAGTCTGGAAACTTTTGTCATACTTTATAGCAAGGAAGCTACTAAAGACTACTAGGGACATGTCAAAGGATTTGAAGAGACATTTAGAAAAGGCTGGCAATGGCCTCACATGGAATAATTTGAGCCTCAGTAATAATCTAGTGGATTAAAATCCGTCAAATATGCTTAAGTCTTTGAGTTCATAATGGTACTTAAAAAAAGGGGGCGGGGGGTACCCTTCCAAAGGTGATAGGGACTGTTCCTAATCTTGAAAACTGTTAAATAAAGGGAAAAAATTAAGCATTTTGTTTTACCTTGTACCACTTGGTAACCAAATGGTAAAATCGTGTCTTTATAAAAGTATTACAACTGATAAAAAAAGAAATGATAGAATATCATCATTTTGCAACCTCAAATGAATTATTTCTATTAATTCATTAAGCATCAATGGATGCTAATATTAGAAAAAAGAAAGAAAGAAGGTGAGGTGACCAAATAGAGCTTAACTCTACCTGTTTCAGAGAATTTTTGACATGAATAATGTATACAAGACTTATATTTGTGTTTGAATATGTCTACCTACGACTGTTTTTAATACCTGGTTCAATCGAGTGGTCCAGTAGTTTGATGGAAGTATATTATGACTATATAAAATTAGTTATTTTAAAAATCTGCACTGAATATAAAGTTTATGTACTATAGGACTGAGGAATACAGAGATAAACAATAGTATTTTATGCTAGTGTTATATTATTGTAAGTATATTTCCTGTTCAGTGAAGGGCTGGGAGTGAGGAAGGAGTTAAGTAATAATAATGACACAAAACAACTACAAAATAAAACAAAACAAACAAAACCTCCTTTAAAAGAAAGGCACTTTCCTTGAAGTTGAGGACAATAGACTAGACCAGTATATAGAAATTATAAAGTAAACAAGAAAAACAAAATCCAGGAGAAAGTTGCACATCTACTGTATGCTTAAGCAATGTCCTAGATACAGGGAGTGGATAGGGTAGAGGAATAAAACCTCTGATCTGTAACATTTATGATTCTATTGACTGCAGTTATAAACTCTTAGAACATACGCAGTTCTTTTTGTGATTATAATTCAGTACAGAACTATTTATTACAATAGCTGAGATTTGTTAAGCACTTGCCATGTACTCGACAGTGTGTTGTGTTTTATATACATTCACTTATTTAATCATAACATTCCTAGAATTATTATCTCCTTTTTGTAGCTGAGTTATAAAAAAATTGAATTATTCACCCAAAGTACTTTACTACATAGCTTAGTAAAGTAAATGTTGGAGCTGAATTTGAAACCAAGTAGAGTTGCTGTGGAGTAGTGTTTCTTATCTTTCTTTCATTATTGCCCCTTCCAGGTGGCTCTTTAGACTTTTTTTTTTTAACTTAATCACACCCCCTCCATAGAAATTTAATACTACAGCTATACTATCTCTGTTTATATACTGTGACATTTCATTATGTCCCTGCCCCCCCAAATTTTGACCCCTCAGGAGCTATGTTGTTCCTATTGATAACGTATACTCTAAAGTATACATTAACATTTAAATTGTGTTAAAATATATGTAACATAAAATTTGCCATCTTAACCATTTTAAGTGTATAGTTCAGTAGTGATAAGTGCATTCACATTGTTGTGCTAGAGCCTGCAGTTTTAAAACCAATCTTCTATGCATTTTGCTAAAAATTGCTTCTTGGCTATGGAAACCTAAATTTTCTAATTGTAGAGAACATAAGCAGACATTTATTTCTATTTCCAAGTGTTTGCTCCTTTGTAGGGAGCTTATCTGTCTTATCCTTTACTGTGTTTGCTGTACTACTGCCTTTACTATATTTCCCAGCCCCTAACACAATGTGTGGGATATAATAGGTCTTAAGTAAATATGTATTGAGTAAATGAATTTATTAACTTTAGCATTTTATAGTCTATAAAACATACATAGTATATAAAATATTGTATATTAAAATAGTTTATTAAAACATGTATAGTATATTAGTATGTTTTAAAACATGGAATATTAAAAATGAATTGAAGCAACGAAACTTTGGGGTTGTTTAAGGTAATAGTATTAAAGAACTAGAGAAAAATAATAGCTCCAACACTCAAATAGATATTGTTTTTATGAAAAAAGGCATTTTGCAACAACACTAGGATACAAAGTTATACTAAAAAAAACTAGTGTTTTAAGAAAATTAGATACTAAGATGTTAAATACTTACCCACATTTTAAAGCAGTGTGAATGTGTATTCCAAGTGACTGGTATAGGCTACATGGGCTATCACATTCAATAAAGGGAAGCTTTGTTTGTTAATTTATTCATTAAATATTTTTGGTTTGTTGCATTGTGTCAGGCAGTATGCCAAGAGTTCTAAATATGACCAGATCAGACACCTTGCTTTGAGGAACTCATAGTTCAGCAGAAAAGGACAGATATTACACTTAAGCATTCAACATAAATGTATAGAGCACCTAATATGTACCTGACATTCTTGTATTTATTGGGAACACACAAATAAAATATGACATAAAGAAAGAAGCATCATTTCCCCTTAGGTGAGGAAGGAAAAGCTTCCAGACAAAGATTACCTGGGCTGGATCTTGAAAGCTGAGTCAGAATCTATAAGATCAGTGAAGGGAGGAGCAAGAAGGAAAGAAAGGCATTTCTGGAAGTAGGAACAACATCTGTAAAGTCACAGAGGTTTGAAACAGTCCAACACATTTAGGACTCTCTAAGTAATTTTCTGTAGTTAGCTTGTGATATATGTGGAAACGGAACAATATGGAATTGGTGGGAAATAGAGCATCCAAATCATACAGGACCTTTTATGGTATCAAGAACTTGTAATATTGTATGGTTTTAGGTAAAAAGCAATATGATCAAATTATGTTTTAGAAAACTGGCTAACCTGTGTTGAGGGAGAAAACTGGAAGCAAGCAGTCCAGTAGGAAAACTAAGGCACTCAGGATGAAGGAAGATGAGATTTTCTGAAACAATGGTAATGGATAGGAGGGTAAGGTTCTAGAAACATTTTGGATGTTAAGTTTTAAAAAAAAACACATCAGTGACTAATTAGATATGGGGTTGAGAGAGAGGAGGAAATATAAGATAATCTTGCAATTTCTTTCATTACAATTTCTAGTTATTGCAGATGCAATAACTCAGTATTACTTATTTGTGAAGGAACAAGATTCTGCTGTGTGTTCTCATTTTCTTTACTGCATTGGCCGATGATTATGTAATCATTCCATATCTTTCTTAATTAATCTGAAATCTCAGATAATTTTTTAAATTTCTTTTCTAAAAGGAAAAATACAGGTTTTTTTCAGGTTATAAAGGTAATATGTGTTCATTGTATAAAAATACATATAATACAGAAAGATGTAAAAACTGTTATATAGTCTAGAGGAAAGTAGGAAGCAACTGAAATTCTATCATCCAGGGTTAACTAACAGTAACATCTTGTTTTTATATACTCCTAACTTCTCTATGCAAATAGATATGTAGCTAAATATTTTCTACAAACGGGATAATAATAGACTTGCTATTTTATAACCTGCTTTTGTTACTTTATCATATGTATTATACACATTATCTCTTGCCAAATATGAATATATTATAATTTGTAATTGTGGAGTATTTCATTGTATGAATGTACCATGATCAATTTTCTATTATTAGGCATTATGATGGTTTTCATTTTTTATCTTTTCTGAATAATACAGCCATGAATATTTACTTAACCTTTGTGCACTTATGTGATTATTTCCCAGGATAAGTTTCCAATAATAGAAATCCTGGGTCAAAGATGTACACTCTTCAAATTTTAATATATACTTTCATATTAGTTATACCAATTTATTATTCCTATTCCAGACTACTGGGTGTAAATGCCACCTCTTTCTCTTTTCTAGCTCTGTGATTTTCCTCTTCTGTAAAATGGGGAATCTGAATACTTCTCTTTTAAGATTGTTAAAATTAAGTGAGAGAATGAATAGAAATGTTTAGCCCAATGTTTGATACCTAGTAAGTGCTTGAAAAGTGGCAGCTATTGCTTTTAGTAACATGAAATATGCATTTCCCTCATGGGTAACATCTGTCTTTGTAATCTTTGCTAACATGATGGGGAAAATGATGTGTCATTTTAATTTGAAATTTGGGGATGTTGAACATCTTTTCATATGTTTATTAGACTTTTGTGTGTCTTCTTTTTTGAATTACTTTGCATTTTCTATGCTTTTAAGTTTTGCTCTTTTTTACTTACATGTGAAGAATTTTGTTTATTAGGAATATTGACTTTGTCCTAATTTTTCCAAGCATTTCCCTGCATTTTGTTATATTCAGTTGAACTTGTTTGTGGCACTTTTTTTTAACCCTATATAGATTTTTAAAAATACATTTTTAGATAGCCAACTCCATTTGTTTGGTTTATGATTTCTGGCTTTCACCACCTTAATATTACCAAATATTTTATATAATTTTTTATTTACATTTCTTACATTAAAATTTCTAATCCTTCTGGAATGTATCTTGTTATAAAATGAGATAGCTTTGTTTTGTCTCCAAATAGGTACCTCATTCCTTTCTTTTACTGACTTGAAATGCCTCTTATACACTAAATTTCTATATACACTTAGACTACTTCTAAACTATTTGGTTCAATCAAACAGTTTTATAATTTTAAATATGATATAGGGCAGATTTTCCTTCATTACTCTTTTTAGTATTCATTGTATGTTTATTCTCCTAGGGAAACTTTGTAATCATTTTATAAAGTACCTCCACATTTAGATTTTGATTGAAGTTTTCAGATTTCTTGGAATAAACAGTAAATCTTGAATGTACTTTTAAAATCTCAGGGTCACAGTTTTCATTTCAGTTTAGTCTGTTATGCAATAAAAGCATCTAAATTTTTTATGTGGTACTTCATACAAATGGTATTTTATAAAAATGTTTTTATAGTGTTGATTGCTTCAAAACCAAAACTTTTCGCCCCCAAAATTAAAGACATGCCATTTTCTTAATAATAGGAAGATATATTGTTACCTGCACATGTAGTAAAACTTGAATAATTGTTTCAGAAATGGTTTTCATTAAGTTTATACAAGGAAAGCCCATTATGTTTTTATGTTTAAAAATTTAAAATATTTTAATTAGTATGTAAGGCAGACTACTCAAATTCTTTAATTATACTAGATACTGTAACTATTAAGTTGTGTCCATTTCAGTTTCTTGTTAATGTGTATTTGTTTTAGTAGTGTTTCTCTTAATTGCTCACAAACATTTAAACAGAGGAAAAATAAATTACACCCAGAGCTGCTAAGGTCTTTTTATAAAAGTGGACACCTGTTAGTTAAAGTTTAGAAATAATTTAATTCACATATCAAAAATAAACAGTTTTCAAAGTTTCATAAATTACTTGTCATAATCTAAGCTTTTAAAATTAATATAACCGAATTAGACTCTCTTTCCATGAAACCAAATATACAGCAAGGCTTTAAATCATTTGTAAAACTTTTTAATGAACATGTACAAATAGCCTTTTGATATAAATGGGCATTATGTTACCCATTTATAGAGGAAATTGAGGCTTTGAGAGTTATTGTCAAATAGTAGGAAGAAAGGAAACTAATATTTTGAGTACCAAATGAACCAAGCACTGTATTTGGTGTTTTCTCAGGTCCTTATTTTAAATAAGTAGATAATTTTCTGACAGAAAATTTGATCAATCTGTTGGTACATTGTGTAACCACATAATACATCTCTGTCTTACCAGCTGTTTCTGTTTTTTTTTTTCTTTACTTCCTTTATTCAACTGTGATTGTTCACTCAGTTTTTATCTAATAAGAATGCCCTGATAACCTGCTTTTTATCATGTGCTTTGCCCAGCTGCTTAAATATCTATGGTTGGTCATATAATAATGATCTTGGTCTTTTTTGTTTGATTTATAGATTCCTGAATTTGACAACTTGTACCTGGATATGAATGGAATTATACATCAGTGTTCCCATCCTAATGATGATGATGTTCACTTCAGAATTTCAGATGATAAAATCTTTACTGATATTTTTCACTACTTGGAGGTGTTGTTTCGCATTATTAAACCTAGGAAGGTGTTCTTTATGGCTGTTGATGGTGTGGCTCCTCGAGCAAAAATGAACCAGCAGCGTGGAAGGCGGTTTAGGTAAAACATTTATGGTTTATTTTAGAATACTATTTAGATTAATAAAATATATTATTTTAACAATAACTGACAACACAATGCATTGTCTGCTCATGTTTCTTTTCTGCTTAAATTCTCCCAGAAAAGGAAATATCTCATAATGTCACATTTTATCAATCAAGTAAACAAATTAGTAATTCAAGCGAAGTGTTATTTCTCAAAGCAGATATTGAGCTATATAAAATTACTCTTTATCACAAATTTTTCAAACATCTCCTTGGATAATTTGAAAATAGTAGTGGTAAACTCCTATAGGTAATCTGCCCTGAGCTAGGAAACTGCAGAGTAAACTGAGAGATTGTTCTAATGAGACATCATTAACTTTTAATTTGACAAACATTTGTTGAATACCCAGACTCTAAACTGGATGCTCTCTGATTGAGCATGGGTCCAGGGCAGGTGAGACTAGAATGTGATTGCTAGAGTATGAGAAGAGAGCTGAGTTATGATACTCAATGTATTATCAGCTGTGCAATTTGGGTAGTAGTAGAAGTAAAAGGATAAGAAGAGGTTGTACATAGAGGGTTTTAAAGTCAAAATTCTGGTCATATGTAATATTTCTGAATAATAATGATGGCATTCTGTGTCCTTGTTTATGAGTAGCAGTGGTAAAGTTAAGAGGGTTGTTAAGGGTGAAGGAAAGAAACCCCAAGTCCAGCATGTTTGATGGGTCATTAGTATAATGAATCCTTTCACCACAATACCAGGTAAAGTAATGGAAAGGGCATCTGTGTATGAAATGTAGAAATCATCAAGGAAAGTAGGAGAGTACATTGAAGAAGGCCAGCAGTGAGAATGGGAACTGGATGCTCAAAAGTACTGATTTAAATATCAAAAGAGAAAAGATACTGAAGTTATTGTAACTTCTGTGAATTCTTTAAAGACAAGGACAATCTCTTACTAAAATTTAGATTCTCAAGTACTACCCAAGACTTATTTAATCTGAATCTCTAAAAATTTGGGCCCTGGAAACTTCTTTTCAGACTCCCTTGGTATTTGTTAAACTAGTTTGGGGGAGCTACTGGGCTAGAAAATCCAGTGTTGAGAAAGGATTATATAAGCCTGTTGTATCAGTCAGTATTCAGTTGTAGGTAGTAGAAACCTAGCTATTTTAAGCGTAAGTGAATATAATAGAATTATGTACGTGTAAAAATTGTAAGAGCCAATAGGGTGGGAATCTAGGTGAGCCTGAATTCAAGAATGACTTTCAGAACACACCGTACAACTGACCTACCAATAGGTGGCACTGTTCCTACCACATTCAAGAAGATGAGAAGTTCAGAGACCCCCATCGGAATGGGTGGTTCCAGGAACTTATTCCTTTAGCTGTGATGCAGCTAAACTGTTGGTTCCAAGAATATATCACTTTAGTTAAAATTCAGCAATCGAGAAGTTACCACTCTTGTTAGCCCTAGAGCCCCAATGCACCTGCTCAGTCTGTATCAGAACAAACAGATGCTTGGTACCTTGCTTCTCAATACCTACAAAGCTGCTGAGTATTGAGATCTCTTCTACTATTGATGAACCCCCTCTGCCGCCCCCCACAACCCCAGTGCCTCAGCTGTCATGTAGACTTTACATACCTCTACATTCCAAACCTTTTATGGAGGCGTCTGACAAAATCTGTCATATCCAGAAACCTAGCGACAGGAAAGCCTGAGAGTTTAATTTTTTTTTAGCTTTCTAACCTCTCCAATATCAGAAGACGAACTAGGAATGGAATGTATGTTGGGGGCCAATTCACCATAACCACCACAAGCATTTTCTAAATACTCTGCTGACATCGAGTACCAGTCAGCTTTTTCTCATTCTCCACAGCAACTATTTTCTCTATTCATAATCTTTAATTATAATCTTTATCTCTTACTCATTTTAAAGTCTCTTGCTGTCTGGCTTTCATCCCCATCATGCTGCTGAAACTTCCTTACAAGATTACAAATAGATTCCTTATGGCTAAATATAAAGAATAATTCTGTCTTTATATTACTTTATTTATCTATGGTATTTTAATGTTAACTATTCTTTGTTTCTTGAACCTCCTTTCCTTGGCCTTCATGTAACCACGCTCTCTTTGACAATACCTTTTTACTCTACTTGTTATCTTCCTCTGCTTTTTCTTAAATACTGATGTTTCTTAAGTTTTTATCCTAGGTCCTGAGTCATCTTATTCAATGACTTTAATTACTGTATCTGTACTGATGACTCCTAAATTTATCTTTCTGATAGATATCTCTCTCCAGAGCTCCTGTATAGCCAAATCCCTGCTAAATGTCTCCTTTTGGACACCACAAACCCATTTCAGGCTTAACATGATGAGAGAACTGAACTCATCTTTGCCTCAAAACTGCCTCCCTTCTATTTTTCCTACTTCAGTGAATGACAACACCAGCAAATAGCTGGTCAGCCCCAAAGTCCAAAACTAATTTAAATTTCTTCCTCTTTCTCATTCCTCACATCTCAGTCCTATTTATCTAGTCTCTTAAATTTCTCTTATCTATTTACTTCTTTTCATCTTTATTGCTACTATCTCAGCCTAGGCCACCATAATCTTTGACCGAGATTACTTTAATAGTTTTACCTTGTCCCTGTCCCAAACATTCTGTATTGTGGCCTCATTAACATTATGGCTGTTTAATAGTCTATCTCCCCACTAGAGTTTCTCTTTTGAAGAAAGAACTTATCACATAGTAACATGAAATAATCATTTGTTCAATCAAAAAAGGGGGGGGTGTGGAGAAAGAAGGAATGGCTTTCATTGGAGAGATTACAGAGTTGCAATCTTAAAAATTTTTGTTATATTGAAGAGATTGGTAAGATAGAAGGGTTAAATATGAAGAAAGTTTATCAAAGAAATGGAATTCCACAGGGAACAGTAAGTAAAGCTATTAACAAGGCTGTAGAAAATAGACATAAAGCAGAGCTTCCTAACTTGTATGCCATGTGGCATGCTGATGTGCCGCAAATGAGTTAAAAGAGAAACTGGACAATAATTAGGATGTCTATATTCAAACCTAGATCCATCTGATACTAAAACTTTCGTTCTTCCTAGTGAATCCTATTGCTACGAAACTGATTTTACCAACTGATGCCATTAATGTTATTAAGCTTTTATTTTACATGTTTTTATAAGGAAACCCAGAGGTATACATTATAATTTTTTTTAATTTATTTTTTATGGTGACATTGGTTAACAAAATCCAGTAAGATTCAGGTGCACAATTTAACAGTAAGACATATATATATATAGTGCATTGTGTGTTCACCTCCCATAGTTAGATTTCTTTATATACACACATATTTGACCCCTTTTACCCCATCTACCACCCTTCAGCCCCGCCTCACCCCCCGGTCCTCCCCGCAGTAACCACTAGTCTGTTGTCCATGTCCATGAGTCTCTGTTTGTTTGTCCTGTTTATTTGTTGCTTTTAGGTTTATATCCCACATATAAGTGATGGGGTTTTCACCTTTTCTGTCTGGTTTATTTCGTTTAGCTTGGTTATCTCAAGGTCCATCCATGTTGTCACAAATGGCAGTATGTCTATTCTTCTTATGGCTGAATAATATTCCATTGTTTATATGTACCACAGCTTCTTTATCCAATCATCTGTCGTAGGACACTTCAGTTGCTTCTATGTCCTGGCCACTGTGACTAGTGCTGCTGTGAACATTGGTGTGCAGATATCTTTTCGCATATGGATTTTCAAGTCTTTGGGGTAAATAAATACCCAGTAGAGGGATTGCTGGATCATATGGTAGATCAATTCTTAGTTTTTTGAGGAAACTCCATACTGTTTTTCATAGTAGCTGTACCACTTTGCAGTCCCACCAGCAGTGTATGAGAGTTTCTTTTTCTCTGCATCCTCTCCAACATTTCTTGTTACTTGTCCTGTTGATTATAGCTATTCTAAGGTGTGAGATGGTATCTCATTGTAGTTTTGATTTGCATTTCCCTAATAGCTAGAGATGATGAGCATCTTTTCATATGTTTGTTGGCCATTCGTATGTCTTCTTAGGAGAAGTGTCTGCTCAGGTCCTCTGCCCCTTTTTTGATTGGATCATTTGTTTCTTTGTTGTTATTGAATCGTATGAGTAATTTGTATATTTTGTATATTAAGCCCTTATCGGAGGCATTGCTTGCAAATATATTTTCCCATTCAGATAATTGTCTCTTTACCTTGTCGATGGTTTCTTTTGCTGAGCAGAAGCTTTTTAGTTTGGTGTAGTCCCATTCATTTATTTTTGCTTTTACTTCTTTTGCCTTTT